TGCCAGGGAGCTGGAACATTTTTTCATATGTTTGTTTGCCATATATGACCCAGCAACAGCACTCCTAGGAATATATCCAAAACACCTGTTTTACGACAAACCAACATGCATCCCTATGTTCATTGCAGCACAATCAGTAATTGCAAAAATATGGAAACAACCGAAATGCCCATCAGCAGAAGATTGGATAAGAAAGCTTTGGTTCATCTACTCCATGGAATACTACTCAGCTATTAAAAAAAACAAAATGCAGTTCTTTGTGGCTAAATGGGCCCAACTGGAAACTATAATGCTAAGGGAAATGAGCGAATCCCAAAAGGTTAGATACCACATGTTTGCCTTGATTTAACCTGTAATTTTTTGTTTGGTTGTTTGTTATTTTTTGAACCTGTCATTGATACTGTCTCAACCCAGATGTTTCGAAGAATGGAACTTGCATTATTTTTAACATATTGTTTACCCAATACTATGTCAATTAATTCCATAATGTTGTATATTGATACTGAGGTTTTGTTGGGGCTTTTAACTGACCGGATCTTTACTCTGTTAGCCCTACCTTCAGACCAGAGAAGGTCTCCCCAAGAGGCCACTGAACTTAACTGGACAATAAGACGCTGAACTTTATGCTAGGCATGTGTTTGCAAGGAATGAATCTCAACTGAACTTGAACTATGGTTATGCAACAAGGTGGAGGAATCCACCATGGAGGGAGGGGTATGGGAGGGGTGGGGGGAATCCCTAGCGCCTATAAAACTGTACCACATAATACAATGTAAACAACAAAAAAAATAAAAAAAAAATAATAAAAACTCCTGAAAATTTATTTACATAAGGCAGATAAATGTCACATCCATTGAAATACAGATTTAGCAGCTTACTGATATGTCCCAGCCTACCGTACCACTCCTGCCACACCCTCCATCTCCCTGTACCGGCCCATTTCTTTTTTTCTTTTCTTTTATAGATTCAATATCTATTGGAAGGTCAGATATACAGAGAGGAGGAGACACAGAAAGAATTTCTATCCATTGATTCACTCCCCAAGTGGTCGCAATGGCCGGAGCTGCACCGATCTGAAGCCGGAGGCCAGAGCCTCTTCCAGGTCTCCCATGCAGCTGCAGGGTCCCAAGGTTTTGAGCCATCCTCGACTGCCTTCCCAGACCACAAGCAGGCAGCAGGATGGGAAGCAGATCTGCTAGGATTACAACTGGCGCCCATATGGGATACCGGGGTGTTCAAGGCAAGGACTTAAGCTGCTAGGCTACTGCGCCAGGCCCACCGGCCTATTTCTTTTCTCTAGTTTTTAAAATGGTATACCTAGACCTCTTATTTGCAATTACAAGTTTGATACTCCATTAAGATAAATATATCAATACCTGGCAAGGAGAAGGGAACAAAAAGATCCAAGTAGAACAAAACAAAACAAAATAAACAAATAAATAAGATTTCACTATTTCTTGGGTATATAAACAAAGGTTATCCACAATAATCAAATCCTAGAATATCACTCTTGCACCTGTAGATCGCATTTTTATAATCTGTATTAGTCATCACAGATTAGGGAGGATATACGATACTTGTCTTTCTTGGACTGGTTTATCTGACTAAGCATCATAGTTTTCAATTGCATCTATTTAGTTGCAGAAGACAAGATTTCTCTCTCTGTGTCTTTTTTTTTTTTTTTTTTGCCAAATTAGTATTCCATACTCTACACATATCACCTTTCCCTTATCCGGTCATCCGTTGATGGTCACCGAGGTTGATTCCACCCTTCGGCTACTGTGAATGGAGCAGCTCTAACTAGGGGTGCATACAGATAACTCTCATGCTGATTTCACTTCATTTGGATAAATTCCCAGGATTGGAAGGCTGGACCATTTTCAGACAGCTGAGGAATCTCCATTCTCTCTTTCATAATGGTTTACTATCTTTCATTCATGAGGACACTTCCTGCACACCTCACCAGCAGTTATCGCTTCCTGGTTTTTGATGATAACACTCTAACTGGGGTGAGGTATCACTGATATTTTAAGTGGTAGTTGAAGGAGAGATGTGGCCTGCCATGGAGCAAGAAGAAAAGGAAATGAAGTCACATTTTGTAGGGATTTACATTTAGTTGCAGGTAAAGGTGAACATACTGCTAAGCAATGGAGAGGAAGAATCAAGAGAAGAGAAAGGTGAGAGATAACCTACGACAGAGGCAGTAGTGTCAGTAACAAGAGTCCCCACTGACAGGATGGTGACGATCGCAAGTGCAAAAAGTCATAGATACAGACTGGATGTGGAGTCACCGGAATCAGAGATCTTACAGAACAGAGGTTATTCTGGTGTGGCATACGATCTCTACATGAGCACGAAACGCCAGGTTGAAGGTTACTCTGGGAAGAGGATCCTGACAACACAGGAAAGTGACAGGGACATGACATTGACAGTGACTCTGAGGGAGGGGTTGCAGGTTTGGGGTAAGCCGGCCCTTGATGTCACATGTTCTACAGCAGGTGAAGGGAATTGCTTTTGGAAGCCACACAAGCAGAGGCAGGCAAACGCCATGCCCATTAAAGCCCACAGATTTTTCAGGCTGAGGCCAGTCAATGCACTCTTCATTGATGAAAACTGCTGAGTAAACAACAATCCTGTGGAAAAGCTACCTACTGTTTCATTTAAGAACATTATAGCATATTTTGAGAAGGCAGGAAAAATATACAGGGGATCTATCTGGAGAGCAAAACGGAAAGGAGTTCAAAGGGTGGAGAGCAAGAATGGAAACCAGAAAGGATCTGGGAACAAGCTGTCTCACCCCTTGCCATTACGACTGACTGCTGGTCTTCCAGGAAGATGGATAAAATAGGAAATGGTAAAAAAAAAAAAAAAAAAAAAAAAAAGGAAGAAGAAAAGAAAAATCATACATACCATAAACACTTTCTATAACTTAAAACATAAATGTACACACATGTGCCACTCTTTTGATGTGAGGCCAAGGCCTGCTCACTGCATATGGATCTGCTGACTGGAGTTATGCATCTTGTGCCTCACATAAACCACATCCTTCATCTACAATTTCCAGCTTGCTTTCTTTAAAGTCGAGGGAAAACCTGTAGACACTCTTGAAATAACTTGAATGCAGAACCCACCAGATTTCTTTAACCCTTCCCCAACACACACACACACATCTTGCCTACTCCTAGCATATCAAGTCTTTAAAAAAAAAAAAGCCGTCAGCTTGATTTTCATAGAAACAAAACTGGCTTTTTTGCATTTGGTCAGCTTATTTATTCTTAAAGTATATAATCAAAATATGAATTATAGCTGCTAAAATAGGTTTGAAGACCAACACAACATGATTGGCTTTTTGGAAAGAAGATGGATCCGATGGCAGAGGCGAGAATACACAGACAACTTAGAGAGAATCTGTGTGCTGGGATGAGGACTGCGGTGTCGGTTCATTCTCTCTCCAGGTAAAAGATGCACCAGCCCTGCAAATGGACAGCAGAGGCCGACAGGGACACGCGTATAACTGACTTCAAGTTTTCAAAAGGAGAGACAGTATAGAGCTTTCCTCTTCCCCACATGCGTTCTTTCCTTCTTCTTCAGTCCGTTAACTCCTATGGCCTTTCCTATTTGGGCAGGAGGATCAGAAGTTGTAAGGAGAAGGTGCAAGAGCAGCAGGTGCACAGAGAGAGGGCTGAAACTACAGTCACTGAGGGTTGCAAGCTGCTTCATTTGTCTTCTTGCTGCTGGCACTCACAGTCAGTGAGTTAGTCTTCTTTCTCTTTCTCTGCTGAGCTCTGCCGGGCGACTAGGTAAACTATTCTGATTCGCTGGTTTGTTTCTGATTTTGTTTTGCATCCTCTTGTCTCTGATTCTCTATTTCTCTTTCCTCCTGCTAGTTTTTTTTTTTTTCAGGGAGATTAATCCTAGTCGCCGCATAATTGGACAATTTGGATATTCATAATATCATTTACAAGCCATGCCAAGCTACCAATTGAGAAATTAACCTGATGTATAGATTTCTTGAATTTTGAGTCTTGCCTGTAGTTGGGTTGATAGGCCCAGACCAATTGACTTCATAAGCCTTACCTAGACAATGGGTCAGATGTTCCCCAACCTTGGCGTACAAAAAGGTAAGGATAACAATACAACACAATAGATCTACACTTTCAAGAAGTGCTCAAAGTTTCACATTGTTAACTTTCACAAGGCCAGGCAGGCTACACATCCACTGCCTAAATACCACCACTAGTTCTCTTCTCATGTTATCCAGTGTAAGTCAATTTGGCACACATTCTCCTTACCTGGAAAGTTTCTCCCCAACTAATCCACAGCATAGAATCAATGAATTAGGCCAGAAAATAGCACTACTGCTAAATTGGCCATTTATAGATGAGTCACTATTTATGAGCATTGAATATTGGTTGCATCACAGGTTTCAGACTCCACCATGCTTATCTCTGACGAGTGCGGTATTAACATCCTAATCTGTGCTTCACGGATAAATTAACAAGATTAGAGAATTAAGTACGTTATTAAAAATCACATAGAAAGTATCAGGAATGGATTTGTATTTGGTTAACTGAACCGCAGAGACTAGGTGCTCAACCATTGTACTACATCAGCCCTTCTCAGAATACCCAGAACTAAATGGAATTCATTCATAAATTATTTTCATTTTAATACATACAAAATCAATTATTCTCTTCCAATAACAATTCTATCCATCAACGCACTGTCGGAAAAAGCAGCTTTTCATCCACTTCTTCTAAAGGGATACTTGTTTTCTTGAGGCAACAAAACATCAATCAGCTGATTAAGAGATGCTCTTCATGATCTAACCGACACTTTTTGGAATGAAATGAAATAAGACAATATCCATGCCCATCATGACGTAATTTCCAATTATTCCCCTTGAGCAACCACGCAACATTCATGGAAGAGTGGGAGAGCAAGAGACTCCTGCAGGGGAAGGAAAGCCGACTGCTGGAAAATTCACAATTTGCACTTACTTTTCTGGTGCACTTTTTCACAGTGTTGATTAATTCTTGCATGACCAGATCTACACTCTTCAAGGAAGGCCCTTTCAGCTTTACAATCTGCTTTTTCACTATTGCTTCAAATGCCATGTCTGGAGTAAACAACCCTGTCCTGAATACAAGAAAGCAAGCAGAATTTTAGATTTAAAAACCTGAATGATATCCATTAACCTTCCAAAAACTGTTTAAGTTGACATTCCTTTTAAATCAAGCATAGAAAGACCAGGGATAAAGACTTTACGCTATTGCCTTAAGATGTTTATTACTGCTAAGACATAAGCTCACATCTATAATAACAGATTATTTATAATAGATAAATAATAGATTAATATTTGCATTCAGTACCTAAAAGAGTTAGTTCCCCATTTCTGTGAGTTAGACACTCAAGAATTCAACTAAGTTTAAATAAAAAAAATCTTTAAACAAAATATCTGCTCTGGATATGTATAGGCATTATTTTTCTTACCATCATTTCCTTTTACATATATATGTATATAGTATTTCCTGCAACAAACTTTGTTGTATCTTGAGTTCTTTTTTTTTATTATTTCTTTTTACTAGAAAGGCAAATATACAGAGAGGAGAGACAGAGAGGAAGATCTTCCATCCAGTGATTCACTCCCCAAGTGGCCGGAGCTAAGCTGATTGAAGTCAGGAGCCCAGAGACTCTTTCGGGTCTCCCACTCGGGTGCAGGGTCCCAAGGTTTGGGCTATCCTCAAGGGACTGCTTTCCCAGGCCACAAGCAGGGAGCTGGATGGGAAGCGGGGCTGCCAGGATTAGAACCTGTGCCCATATGGGATCCCAGCACATTCAAGGCAAGGACTTTAGCTGCTAGGCCACTGCACCGGGCCCCTTACCATCATTTCTTTACAAACACAGTATTATCATTCATACACAGCCCTTACATCGTATTAGAAACTGTAACTAATCTAAAGATGGTTTAAAGTATAGGGGACTTAAAAATGTTCATAAAAATAGGATTTAAAGAATTAAACTTGTTGTGATGTGAGAAAAATTGAAATCCATGCATAGTTTTTTAAATAATATATATATTTTCATGAACTTATGAAAAATCCTCAAACCTACACAGGTAAACACATATAGTTATATGAGAATGCTCTGTTATTTTATATAGAAGAAACTCGAATATATAGAGATTTTGGTATTCAAGGCGGTCTGGAGCCAATGCCCTGTAGAAGACTGTATTAAAATAAAAATTGTATCCTAAGCTTAAATTTCTATTCTAAAGAGTTACAAAAGCAATCCTATTTTCCCCCTGTGCAATAACGAGTGTGCCTCACTTTTCTACAAACAGTAGTGCTTCCAGAATATGCAAACTGTTCACTGAAGGAAGAAGGCAGCAATAGGAGTCATAGACTAATTTAATGTTTCAAGATGCCCGAATTAAACTGTAAACTTACAAAAATAACAAATGAGGACAATAATAGCAAGCATCTTCCTTTTGGCTGCAATTAATTCAAATGGGCATCACAACAATACTTCTCTTGCCTGAGATGAACTCAGGGAATCAGAGGGGTGAGTGGTGTGTGTGTGTAACTCAGGGAATCGGAGGGGTGAGTGGTGTGTGTGTGTAACTCAGGGAATCGGAGGGGTGAGTGATGTGTGTGTGTAACTTGGGGAATCGGAGGGGTGAGTGGTGTGTGTGTGTAACTCGGGGAATCGGAGGGGTGAGTGGTGTGTGTGTGTAATTCGGGGAATCGGAGGGGTGAGTGGTGTGTGTGTGTAACTCAGGGAATCGGAGGGGTGAGTGGTGTGTGTGTGTGTGTGTGTAACTCAGGGAATCGGAGGGGTGAGTGGTGTGTGTGTGTGTTTGTGTAACTCAGGGAATCGGAGGGGTGAGTGGTGTGTGTGTGTGTGTGTGTGTAACTCAGGGAATCGGAGGGGTGAGTGGTGTGTGTGTGTGTGTGTGTGTGTAACTCAGGGAATCGGAGGGGTGAGTGGTGTGTGCGTGTGTAACTCAGAAGGGAATGTAACTCACTCACATTCCCCAGACCCATCTCTGCACAAGCTTCTTGGTTCCATGAAAAAATGCCACACTTTCCCAGTCTATTCCTCAGCTCATGCTGCACCTGCCACTCGAAAGCCCTTCCGGTTGACCTTTACCCTCAACAACCTCCATTCCATGTTCTCACGCTCATTATATCACTACCTACCTCAGACACACGCACGCACATACATGTATATACCCAACGCACCTGGGCCTGTGGGAATCATTCATTCAACAGGCAAAGTTCAAGGATGAAATAACCACCTCCATGAATCTTTTCAAATCTTGCTCCATAACTCTACTCAAAATTAATGTGTCCCTGCTCTGTGTAAGTAATGGTTACTCATGATTTAGTCAGGCCTCAAGCCCTAGAACAGAAAGCTTTGCAGGACAAGGCCTTGCTCATCTTTGAACCGTTATGCAGCCTATAGGCTGTGAGCACAGGAACTAACTGTGGCAATACAGGAAATTGCTATTGAACTCAAACTATGATTTCCTATTTCTCAATCACACCTTTGCAGTCTATTCTGCTCAGATGATGAAAAGGCTATTTTTCTGGCAACACATAAACATTAATTTTGTTTTGGTAGCTTGAACTAAAGACCAAATGTGAATCACTTGCCTGATACCATGTATGTTTTTGATTGCATAGCTTATTTCTCTTCGTAATTCTTTCTCATTGAATTCCATCTGCAGATGCAAAATAAACCATGGTTATGACACTTAATTCCTTTGAATGTAATATTGTTGAATATTATAAAATGAGAATAACTTGAGTTACTTATTAATAAATGGATACTCATGTCTCTCTGAACCTAAACCCAGATGGCCAAGACATCTGTTTATACAAGTTCAAGGCAACACAGAACCTAGGGATTTCTGGGAGTTCTAGTGCAGCGGACTTTAACTGTATAACACATAAAGAGTGTTGCGCATAACTGATGCCTTCTGGGCTGCTTCTGCTGAGTCAGGTCAATTTGAGGCCACAGGCAGCAGCGTCACCTGGTGTGCAGCAACCACGCAGCTGGCGGGAGAGTAGCAATGGCCATCTTTCCTGCCTGGCAATTTTACCCTCCTGAGATCAAGACCTCCTTACAAAAGGAAATTAATAATAGTTCATCAAGCCAACACAGGACACGTTGCTGTATGCACATTTCACATTTCCCAGAAGCTCTAGCTACTATAACTCTACTTGCAAATGAGATCAAAGTGCCATGGAGATCAGACGAAAAGGGGGATCCAGAGAACACCAGGTCCAGCCCCACCTTCTGAGATTCCAGCCCATCTATCCCCCTCACCTGCCTATTTCCTCCCTCCCAGTTGACAACCTAGAACCACGAACTGCTCTCTACCCACACCTCGTGGCTTCCCACTGCACAGGCTATATTGTCCCCCCCCCTTTCTCTCTGGAACAAGCCCACCTTTTCCTGCTGAATTAGCTGTACATCCTTCCAGGCTCAGCTCAGAAGCCTGGCTCCTCTGCATACTTAAGCGGGGATTCCTGGCTGTCGACTGGGTTTCCCTTATGCTGAGGCTTATCACTTAACTTAGCACATTTTAATGAAACGCTGTGTTTACCCATCTGTGTCCCACACCAAAATCTAAACATCCAACTCACTTGTGTGAGGCAAGTAGCTTAGTCCCTGTAGCTGCTCAGCTGCTTTACCGGGCACTTCACACTTAGTAAGTCCAAAACAGAATGCCTCACTCATATCTCCACAAAAGTGAAAGTTATCCTCATTGGCCTCATCTGCTCAGTACCATCACTCACCCAGCTGTGAATGGAGACACGCTAGGAGTCATCTCAAGTCTTCTCATTTTCTCATTCCCCTTTTGACTTTGCCTCCAAAACCCCAAAACCCTCCATTTCTACCCACCTGTCTTATCTGGTCGTTATTACTTGGAAGCCAAAGAAAGTTAAGTTTCAAGGTGTCTGCCTTTTGTGTAAGGCTCCTTCCAAAACTGTGTGCCTAATCGGGTACTTATAATGTTGCACCCTTCTTTGTCAAGGTTTCCAAGATTGGAAAATCTTAAGGGCTCCATGGATCCACTCCTGGTCTGGCCCAAGCCATTTTTACTTAGCTGTTTTTTCTTACCCTCCTTATAATCCAGCAGCCATAACTCTTTTTTTTTAAATTACCAACCAAATTCCATCATACCCTTGCTTTTATCTCTCCTGTAACTGTTAAACATGAACACCTTTTCCCAAGCACAAAGCCCTGTTCACACAGGGCATTTTGTGTCTAAATTCACTTCTGAATCTTCCCCTCTGCCGTCTCTGACACAGTTACGGCCACTCTTCACCTGCCATTCTCATGCCTGGGTTAGAGCCTTGCACAAAGATGCTGCCTCCAAACAACCCTTCCCCCTGGATCTTTCTATGGCTGACCTCTTCATGCCATCCGGCCAGTTTAAATCTCCTCTTCTCATAGACAAAGGCCCGGGACAGCCCACTAGCAGTGCGGCGCCCAGCCCTCCTCTCACAGCATGTTACCTCAATACCACATGATATTTTCTTTATTTTGCCAACTCATTTTTCTGGCTTTCCTCACATGACAAATACAGATAGATTTCTTATGTCTTAATCACAGGCACATAGTATGTATTCAAAAAAATGTTTTTAAATTAACTAAACAACAAACAAACATCATAGAAACTCAATTAGCATGTCCTTGAGATAATGTAAAATGCAGTCCAAAGTCATTAAACAAAATCAAAAACATTAGTCCCATACCACTCACGAGAAAATGTAAAATAGAATTTGGAATTGATATGAAACAAAAGGGGGTAAAAATGACGTTCTGTACAAACCTTTACTATCTCAAAAGGAAAGCGTTCGTGAAAAATGCGATTGATTTTAGCACCACCTGAGAGTTCCAGGGTATCAACTTGATCCCCCGACCCTTCAATTCTCTTCTCAAAGTCCACAGCAAATTGCTGAACCATCCTGTAATGGTGAGAGAATAAATTCATGTTAGACATACAAGGCTCTGCATGCCTCATTGTATTCTACCATGATGACGCTTTTAGAATCCTGTTCCCGGTGTTCTTAGCGCCACCTGCTGGCAGAGGTACTGCACTCCGCACTCAAAATGTGACTGCAGCAGAAACATCAAGATTTCTTCTAGATAGTTAAGTAGGCGAAATATTTTTACTTCAGATGCACGTATTTGATCCATTTAACTGCCACCATGAAATAATACTTAAATTGGAAATTAAAGTTAAGTAATAAAGATTACTATAAAATAGTCAAAACTCAGCCCTCACATTTGCTCACGTTCCAACTGTTGCAGCTCAGCTCCCTAACACTTCATGAGCTGCTTTCTCCTCCTCATGTCACAACCTCCAATTCTTCTCTTTGACCCTACACTCATCCTATAGGATCTCAGGGTTATGGTCACTTTGGGTCTAACCCACAACCCACTTGTGAGCAATGAGTGAATGGTCAGCTGGACATTAATGTCCTCTCACTTGCCTTGAACTCAATACACCTAAAACTGAACCCCTTGACTTTGCCGATTGCCTTGCATGCCCGGGATCCCCTTCCCTGTCAAGACAGAAGCCTGGAGTGTCCGCCCTCCCTGTCTCCCATATGCTGCACCGCAGGGAGCAACCTGACATTGAGTCTTCCCAAGCCTCACACCACAGCCTCCTCCTCTTCAACACGCAACGACACTGCCTCATCTCAACCTTCAGTCATTCCTCCTGGGAACACCATTCTGCCTTCAGGTTTGTCCCTGTCAAGGCCAGAACAGCACAAACCCATCACTGCTCTGCTCCTCTGCAGCTAGCTCTTCTCTCATTCCTCAGGAATTCGCTGCAATGTGCTAATAAACCCAAACTCCCCAACTGAAGACTGAATTGTGTGGCTCCAGGTGCCTCAGCATGTCCCCTTCCTCAGCTCTCACCCAGACTCAACCAGATTCACCTTCTACGCCAGCCACAGGGACCCATTTGCAGCTTCTCAGACACACCAGGCTCCTGGGCTTTCACTCCTTTTTCTTTGTTTAGAGAACCACTCTATGTACTTCTTGGAGCTTTGTCCGGTTAATTGTTATCTTCCATTCAACACTCAACTCAAATATTCTTTCATGCAGGAAACCTTTCATGATGCACAGCTCTCTCAGCCCTACGCCACAGCACGGCCCAGATAAATCGCTCCTCCTTGGTTCCCCACATTTCCAACACAGCACCTAGCACGCGCACGCGCGCACACACACACACAGCATGTGTCATTGCCTGCCCGTTTACTGGTCCCTTTTCCAAGGACAAGAACTCTGCATTTTCCTTACCTCTCCCTCTTCAACAGAGGTGTATACAACTAACAGTATTTTGGTCAAAAAGAAACCACACATATGACAGCGCTCTCACAAGGTGATTGTGGGGAGCAGTGCGCCAGGAGCTGACCCCATGCGTATGAGGGGCCACAAGATGGTGGCTGGCCGAGTGCCACTAGGCAGGACTTGTCCCGCCAGCAAGTAAACAGGAAGTCATAGGGATAGGCTAATACCCCCACTACGATCATGCTGTTACTACCGGACTATCAGGAGCGCCCAGTGGACACACGGGGAGAAGTGATTGGTGGAGAACTGTATATAAGCAGCCCGCTTTTGGAAATAAACCTTTCCGTTCGCCTGCTTTTCGTTTGTCTCTCCCCCTTTATTCGTTCACCCTCCCCCTTTTCGTTCCCCTTCCTTTTTTGTACGCCCTCTTTTTTGTTTCGGCTTTTCATTCGTTCCTCTGTTCCTCCGTGTGTTCATGTATGTTCGTTCGGTGTGTGTGCTGGTTGCAGTGGCGGTTTCTGTTTTTCCAGGCCCTCGAGGGCTCCTCATCATTTTAGTGTCGTCGCAGGACAGCAGCAGTGATAGTAGAGTTTAAAAATTTCCATCACCCAGTAGTATCACAGCTGTTGTGCCAGCATTATGCACCTTTTTTGTAGTTTTCCTGATATAAACAAACACACTTTCTCATCAAGCCTCCCTTAACATTTCACCCTTTCCACAAACAACATTCATCCAAGTAATTGCTTATGCATCTGTTACGGCCCACAGCCATGCCCAAGTCCAGCTACTCTACACTTCAGGCCCAGCTTCCTGGTAAGGTGTCTGGGAGGTAATGTCAGGACTGCAGGTCCCTGTCAACCACGTGGGAGGTATGGATGGAGTTCCTGACTGATGTCCACATCCTGTTCTAGCCTCATTGGAGGAATGAACTAGAAGATGAAAGATTTTCTGCATCTGCTTCTCTCTCTTCAGTTATCACTCTGCTTTTCAAATGCATACACACATTTTTAAAACATTTATAAAAGTATTTCCACAGACGGAAGATTATTTAAATTTATAATAACAGATTCAAATCAATAATCATTGTTCAAGAAAACAAAGATTCACGGGTCATGGATAGCACACAAAGGGTTTTGTATACTCAACCTGTTTCTTTGTTAAACCTAGAAAATAGTAAGACAAATGTACCCAATGCCAAAGCAAACTGAAGGAATCACTTCAGGATGAAGAGAAGGAAGGTGGGAGGGCCTTACTGCAGCAGCGCTTTGGTCTTCCTGGTGGGGTCTTCAGGCTTGAAGTTCTTGTAGGCCTCTACTTCGTGTTCTATAGAGAGCAACTGCCCCTGGAGTTTATTCCTGAAGTTTGGCAGGGTATCTCGAATGTGATTGGTAAGTTGCTAGAAAAAAAAAAATCACACACAAGACTGAACATTAACTCATGGAACAAAAGTCACCCTCCATTGCCTTCCTAACCAAATTTTTTTTTTAAAGATTTATTTTTATTATTTTTCATTGGAAAGGCAGATATACAGAGAGGAGAGACAGAGAGGAAGATCTTCCGTCCGATGATTCACTCCCCAAGTGAGCGCAACGGGCCAATACTATGCCAATCCGAAGCCAGGAGCCTCTTCCGGGTCTCCCACGCGGGTGCAGGTTCCCAAAGCTTTGGGCCGTCCTCGACTGCTTTCCCAGGCCACAGGCAGGGAGCTGGAAGGGAAGCGGGGCTGCCGGGATTAGAACCGGCGCCCATATGGGATCCCGGGCGTGCAAGGTGAGGACCTTTAACCACTTGCGCCACCGCGCCGGGCCCTACTAACCAAATTTTTAGAAATCATATACAGTCATTCAGAATCATGTTGGCTCATAATGAGAAGTACAGCTTTCTAGTCCACTGCCCTTTGGAGAAACTCAAAAACTTTCTACTTAAAGCCAGCCACTTGGATGCACTCTTTATATGTGGAAAAGAGAGTGTTAAAATTCAGCAATGCTTGGGCCCAGCGGCGTGGCCTAGCGGCTAAAGTCCTCGCCTGGAGCGCGCTGGGATCCCATATGGGCACCAGTTCTAATCCCAGTAGCTCCAATTCCCATCCAGCTCCCGCCTATGGTCTGGGAAGGCAGTCGAGGACAGCACAAAGCCTTGGGACCCTGCACCAGTGTGGGAGACCTGGAAGAAGTTCCTGGATCCTGGCTTTGGATCGGCATAGCATCGGCCATTGCGCTCACTTGGGGAGTAAATCATCAGACGGAGGATCTTCTTCTCTGTCTCTCCTCCGCTCTGTATATATGACTTTGCAATAAATAAATAAATAAATAAATAAAATAAAATTCAGCAATGCTTTAATGAGGCTGCTCAGCTTTAACACATTAGCATGGATTCTTTTATCAGAGCACCTATCTGCTGGGGAAAAGAATAATTAAAAGCAGAGCAAATATACTCAGAGTCACTGAAGAAGTTTTTTGAAATCATCTTTGATAAGAACATACCTGGAACTATTCAATCTGTAATTTCTTGCCTGCAGTTATGAATTATTGTGAAATTACCCTATGTGGTTACGAAGCAGCAACAACAGCACTGGAGAGGACGGAGTGCCAAGAGCAGCGACACAACAGAAAAGGGCTCTAACCTCCGAGTAACAGTAATCATGGAAAACTTCAGTCAGCTGGTAAACAGACACACTTGCTTTCCACATTTTGCATCTCAACATCAAAGCTCCCTAACACATCCGTTTCCTTGGCTTTCATGATCCTGTATCCTCCTCACTTTTTTCCTAATAATTTTGGACGAGTCTTCCTTATCTCTTTTAACAATTCATCCTCCTGGCCACGTACAATTAGTGAAAGGTCTCCAAGCTGCCTCCTAATCTCATGTTTGTTTACTCTCTGTTCTCATTTGGGTGATCTCACTCCATCTGCGGCTTCAGTAGTGCCCCCATCCCTGGAGCTGCTGAAAGCTTGCTGCCCAACAGAGCTTCTAATCCAGACTGGAGCCACCTGCTTAACTTTGGCTCTCAGAAGTTCAAACCTCAAGTACCTGATCTTGCTTACTGATCTTGGTTGCTACCAGGAAACATGGGTGTCACCCTTCAATACCATCCTGTACTACACTACCACCAAATTCTCAATTTCAGCAATAGTTCTCAAATGTTTCTTTTAGATTCTATTTCCAACGGAGAGTATAAAATACTATATGGCTTTTCAGTTTTTTCTGAAGGAATTATTTCTCAGGTCAATGGTAATGGTACACACGAAACAGCAGTAAAATTGCAGTAGTTTCAAACACACTACAATGATCTCCAAAGAAGTAAAAATAAAAGTGACTATCCAGGAAAGCAAAGATCTTCAGTAAAACATTAATTCAGTTTCCGCCAACTGAAGTCCAATTCTACTATAACAAAGGTTAAGGGTGAGGAGTCAAATCAGAATATCCAAGTTTCAATAACCTTCTGTTTTCCAGGACTAAAAAATTGCAAGCATTTCCAACTTTGATTATATTGATTTTTTCCTTAAAGAATTTTTTTCAGTTTCATATTTGAAGGTTGCAATTAAAAAACAGTGTCACCAGTTTTGAATGTATTGATAAAATACTATGGCTCTCACATGACAAACCAGTGTTCCTTATGTTTTTTTAAATGATAGGAGCACTGGCCCTGGCTACCCTGTAACTTCCAAGTATTTCCTTACCCTTAGATGTGCACTCTTTCCAACAGTCTATGAAATGTTATTAAAAATAGAGTGAAATCACTACTTTATATTTTCTTAAACTTATTCAATTAGTCTGCCTCAATGGCTCAGAAACAATGTCACATATTATGACAGCTTCTTCTGATAACTTAGCCTTTGATTGACCGATTAAGTTAAATGATAGGCTTTTAAGTGAAACCTAAGAACATATTTGTGAAGACTGAAGTGCACTGTACAAAGTCCATTAAAACTCGGGGACAGACCCCGCACTCAGTGACAATAAGAAGGGTGGGAGATATGTCGCCAAGGGAGACCAGAGGACAGCGCATGCAAAGAAGGAGGCAAAAGGCCCAATTCTATTTATTATGGAGGAAGAGATTATCAGGAAAAGCTTCATAAATGACTGGCAGAAGGATCTGCTGTTTTGAAAAGTTGAATGCACAAAATAAATCAATGCTAAACAAAACCATATCCTAGAGACCAACTTGAGAGCTACACAAGTTCCAGTTTTTAAAGTAAATACATCCTACGAGAGAATGCACACTCAAATGTATATCATCCAGTCTCTGTTCCTCAATACATGTTTCTGCTCTCAGCATGGTTCTTTCAATAATATTAACGTGAATTTTATTGACAAATAATAGTAATAGTGTGGCTATAAGTATCTATATCCATTTTTAATTTTATCATTTAATCCTGTCTTGTTGGGGGAGAACAAAGTGAATAAAAATGAAATGTAAGCTGCCAGTGTGATGCAGTGCATTGAGCCGCTATCTGCAGCACTGGTATCCCATACAGACACCGGTTCAAGTCCCACTTCCAACCCAGTGTCCTGTCAGTGTTCTTGGGAAAGCAGCAAACCACGGCCCAAGAGCCTGGGCTCCTGCCATTCCGGGGGGGAGACCAAGAAGCAGCACTTGGCTCCTGCCTTTGGCTTCTCCCAACCATGTCACTGCAACCATTTCAGGAGTGAACAAGCAGATGAAAGATTCTCTAGATAGAGACATGGAATGCATATATATTAATGCATATATGTCTATATGTATAATATATATTGTGTAAACCATTAATAATATTTATATAATGGTATATTCATTATATATTGAAATGTTAATAATATTAATATGACAATATAATTATAATAGCATGTGCATTGTTAATAATGCATATAAGGTATATTATATAAATATATAATTAACATATGTGAGTGATATATTTATACATTTATGATTTATAAAACTTATGTATTTATAAAATTATAAGTAATTATATTATGTTAATATATTAATAATATGTTAAAATACTAATAATGTAATAATATAATTATCTAACAATATGATTATTAATAATAATGCATAGTGTTATGCATATATACTATATATATGATATATAAATAAATACAATTATTTCTTCCCGTGAAAAAACATTTCTACCTGATTCAGGACCTTCTGCAGGTGCGGCGTCCCCATGCGATCAGCGATATGTCTGTAAGCAGGGTGGGAAAGGAAGAACTTCCTTTCTGCCAGCATGGCTGCCTTAATGTCCTTCTTCCCGTCGATGTCCTTCTGGCTTCTGTTCACCACCCCCACATAACCTGGAACAAAGCGCAAAGCTTGCTGGCTCCAATGCTACCAAGAGCTCAAACAGACCGAACAAAAACAGATTCAATTCAATATCTGAACTGAGTCCCTTCATAAAAAAGTTTAAGGAAATTTTCATTATGTTCTTAAAAATCTTTCTATAAATCATATTAAATCTGTTAAAAAAAAAAACTACTTAAAAATTAAAACAAATTTGCATTTTCCCAATGAATAAAAAAACTAATAAAGTAGGCTAATGATAATTTTTTGGCATCAACATAATAATTCTCCTCTTAAAATGTCGGTATATGCTACAGACTATGCCCCATGCTTTTAGGGCATACATAACACCTTAGTGTTCTATTCTTGAACACTAAAAGGCAAGTTTGTTTCAGTGCCCCAACCTCTGATGCATGGATTTCATAAAATCCTTTTCCATAGTTTGAAGCACCCTCATGTCAAATGTAGAACTGCGCACATGTATGCAGCCATAGTGAATATCTAGAGCCTCGCTTCAAACCATTTCCTGCCCTGTTTCTTCCTGCTACTCAGGGAAATAGTTCTCCTTTTGGACCAAATGCTTGAAATACTGTGCCATTACATAAAAAGGCAACAATACACTCATCATTGTGATCTGAGGAGGCAGTACCACCATGTCTGGGCACTACCACCCAGGTGAGCACTAACCCAGCACAGTACACACCCCTGTGAAGTGGTGAGCCCTACCACCCAGGTGAGCACTAACCCATCACAGTACACACCCCTGTGAAGGGGTGAGCCCTACCGCCCAGGTACATGTAGGTATCAGAGTACACACCCCTACGAAGAGGCAGCAGCTTGTTCTCCAAGACATCCCTGGCGTCTGTTCCTTCATCCATGAGATCCAACTTGGTGATGACGCCAATGGTTCTCAGACCTGCCACATAACCAAGGCAAAAGACCAACACATTTAAAAGATATTTATGTCTCAAAGATAATTGTCAAGCACATATTCCTAGCCAGTTTCCTGTTCCTCTTTGGCTTATTCAGTTTTCTAATCTACTGCTACCAAGAATAGTGAATTTCAATCCAATGAAGAAGTTTTGAAATCATCCACCAACAAGATATCATTCATTGCAAGATAAGGATCATTCTCACCAAAACCCTCTAAATTCAAGTACCTCAAAAAGTTCATGAAAAATGAAAAGATAAGCTTGCATTTATGCTTTTTAACTTAGTGAAGCCTGACTTTTCCACTGATGTTTTTGAAGCCTTCTTGTCTCCATGAATTTCAAATGTCAGAACCGAAACACATTTATCCTTTCAATTCACTTTCCATAAGCTTTCTGAAGTTTCCACACATAAGCTCATTTTTCTCTCATGTGTAAACAGAATTTACACATTTCAATTTTGCTCTCAAGCACCCCATGCAATATGTATGCTTAAAACTTTCGATATATAACATTGTTAAAAAATAAATAAGTCTCATACTGACCAATGAACATAGCAAATCATAAATCACGAATTAATCATCTAGTTCTGGTCATGTTAAGTCAAAAAATAAGAAAAAAAATTTTACTACATGAAAGTATTATCATGTAAAAAGTCTTTGCAAGTTTAGTGACTGCTCCTTAAAATAGCAAATACACTTTAATAGAGAGGAGAACCAAGAATTATGAGGGTCAAACCCTAGTTTCAAGGCATAAAACATAACCCCCATCACTGTTAGTTCTCAATTTTGCTAATCTGTAGAATTAAAAATTAAAAACAATGATCTCTACAATCCTCCCAGTTATAAAAATAAAAGCCTAGACATTTACATAGCCTATCAAATACATATGGACATTATTTGCATAGTGACAAAGTGAATTTCTCAGAGTGTTCTAATACATATGGTAACTTAAACATACAGACTTACCTTTTACCTGAAAGTGCTCCAAAATAGTAATGGCTAATATTTGTTAACAAACCAATAATTCAAATTATTTATAAGTTATAATTAATTTGATTCTAATATCAGTCCAATTATTCTCACTTCAAGATGTGGAGGTGATAGGAAAAATCTAAATAACTTTTTAAGATTGTCCAGTCATATAGGTATGGGTTTAGGCAGAGTCAACAGTCCAGGTCAGAAATCTGTAGTTTACATAAATATATTACATCTTAAACAAGAAACGTTTTTTTAAAAAGTTTAAAACACACAGAGAGAACAGGAGAAAATAAAGCTGGAAACAATAACTGCTAACTAACCTCCAAAGTAGAGGGAAAGTCCATGCAAGAATACCAACAATAGAAGCTCTCGCCACGAGTGGGGCAGGCTCACTGGTCTGAGTGGTACCCCAGCACTATGTGACCAGGGAAGCCTTGCACACTGAGACCGTGAGAATGTTGTCATTACACGGGAGCGTGTGATGTGCAGCTGGTCTCTGGGCAATCAACACACGGGACCTCAGAGAGCGATCTGAAGTCACACAGAGAGCTGCATAGATGTGGGGGTGCATGGTTTGGCGTGGGCAGAGGGATTAGCCACTGGCCCAACCCCAACTGTGGCTCGCACTGAAGAAAGGAGCTGAGACTGATTTGCTAACAGGATCACTGGCTGCCTGAGGATGACAAGAGGAGATCGACCATGTCCAATGTGGATGACGTCCTGTTCTCTCAGCCCAGACTGGAGCACTGCCCACACCCAGCACACTTCCAGATATCCATGGAAGAAACGGTCACTTCACCAAATCACAGAGGTGCAGTCAAGACAAAAACCATGAGAAGAGAAGACAAGTGGTTTCAGAACTGCCTAAAAATAAATGCAGAAATACAAGAAAAAGTGGAAGACATTAAGACTTCCCATGAGGAACACAGCAATTCTTCAATATTAGAAAGTAAACACAGAGATCAATGAAATGATAAAAAATGAAGGGAAAAATGATCACAGGACTCCTCAAAAGCACACAGAAACAAATTATTGAGATAAATAAGTCCATATAAAATATCAATGAAAAGTTTTACAAAGAGATTGAAATACTTAAGAAAAAGCAAAATGAAATATTAGCAATGAAGGCTTCAATAAACCAAATGGAAAATACAGAAGGAATCCCAACAACAGGCTTTGTGGGGCTAAAAAAAAAGAACATCTAAGAGAGAAGAAAAATCCTTGGAAACATCTGAATCTAGCAAAAGTCAAGAGGAAAAAGAAAAAACAGGAAACAGTGTTTGAGATTTATACACTATCAAATGATCTAAGGTATGTACGTATGTACGCTACGCTCTCCTGGAGGTGTGGAAAGAGATCATGGTTTAGAAGGCTTGCAGTAAACTCCCCTAACGCGGAAGAGGAAGTGACACCCAAGCAAGGGAAGCATATAGAGCTTACACATGAGCGAATTGCTCTTCACCACCACACACTGCAGCCACGCTTTCAACGATAAAACATAAAGATTCTAAAATGTGTGCAAGGGAAATGCCAGGTTACTTTTAGAGGATTCCTAATTACGCTGATACCTCGTCAGAAACTCTACAGCTAAGAGGAAACGGAGAGACACAGCCCACCTCCTAACAGACAGAAACTGCCAACTCAGAATCCTGTATCCAGCAAAGCTCTTGTTTATAGATGCAGGCAAACTAAAAACTTTCCAAAACAAACAAATCGAACGGTTTGCTACCACCCATCCGGCCTTACACATGATGCTTAAGGAAGTGCTACGAACAGAAACAGAGGATTATAATCACCAAAATGAAGTAACACAAAGGTCAAAAATGTCCTAGCAAAAATACAAAGGAAACCCAAAGCAAACAATGAGAATATTTATAGAAAATGGTAGGATACAAAGGATACAGACTGGCTGAATGAATTAAAAAACAAGACTAATCTATCTAATGCCTCCAAGAAACATACCTCATATAAAGATATACACAGATTAAAAGTAAAAGAGTGAAAAAAAGATATTCCATGCCAATGGAAAGGAAAAAGGAGCAGGTGTAACCACTCCAATATCGCACAAAATATACTTTAAAAATGTTTAAAAAAGAGTCAAAGAAGGAAATTCTCCAATCAATTCACAAGAAGATTAAATGTATACACACTCAATGCCAGAGCACCTGGCTATTTAATACAACTGTTAATAGTTTAAAGATAGACACAGATTCCAATACCATAAGAATGTGGGAATCCACAAAACCCCACTATGAGACAGAAAATCCAGAAACAACAAGGATAATTTATACTAAGGAACAAATGACCTTAACTGATGCCTACAGAACATTTCATCCATAGGTGCAGAATATTCATTCTTTTACTAATGCATGGAAATTGCCCTAGTATGGACCAAAAACCAGGCCATGCTATAAGGCTCAATAAATTAAAAAAGCTGAAATCACACCACGTATCTTTCCTGACCACCATGAAATAGAAGTGGAAATCAATAACACAAGAAATTCTAGAAAATGTGCAAACACATGGAGACTGTCAATACTGACAAGTAGAGGGTCATAGAAGAATTAAAAAGGAAAATCAAAATGTTCCTGGTAACAAGTAAAATGGTAGCACAACAAATAAAAACTTAGGAGATGGCAAAAAGCATTGTTAAGAGGGAAATTCATACCAATTGGCACCCATATTAACAAATTAAAAAGGCATTAAATAAATAACCCATTACTGCATATCAAGGACCTAGAAAAATAATAACAAACTAAACCCAAAATGAGTAGAAAGAAAGAATTAAAATTCAGGAAGATATAGACAAAAATTAACATAAGATAAGTGAAATGAAGAGCTGTTTTTCTGAAAAAAATAATAAAATCAATACATCATTGGTCCAAACAATCAGAAAAACAAAGAAGACCCAAATCAATAAAATCAGAGATGAAAAGGAGATGCAGAAAAGGACATCACAGACACACAAAGAATCATCAGGAATTATTAAGAATTATTATCTGCCAACAAATTCAAAATGCAGAACAAATGTGCAGATTTCTAAACAAATACAATCTACCTAAATTGAATGAGAAAGTCAGAAACCCTAAATAGACTAACAACCAGTATGGAAAATGAGTAATAAAGACAGTCTCAACAAAGAAAACCCAGGACCAGATGACTTCACTGATGAATTCTACCAACTTTTTGAGAACTAATCTAAATTCTTCCTAAACTATTCAGAGCAATTTAAAGGGAAGGAATACTTCCAAACTCCTTCTCTGAGACTAGTGGCACCTCTATGCCCCAAACCAGAAAGATACCAAAAAAGACAGCTACAGAATAACATTCCTGATGAACATATAGCAAAAAGTCCTCCACAAAATCTTGCTAATCAAATCCAACAACATATCACAAACACAATTCACCCAGACCGAGTGGGATTTATCCCTGGTATGCAGGGATGGTTCAACATAGGAAAATCAATAAATATGATACATCATATTAAAAGCTGAAGAATAAAAACCATATGACTATGGGCAACAGATGCAGTTAAAACATTTGATGAATTACAACATCCTTTCATGACAGAGTCTTTAAAAAAGCTGGGTATTGAAGGAACATTCCTCAACACAACAACGACAAACCCATAGCCAGAATATTATTCAATGGAGAAACACTGAACCAGATAAGGAAACCCACTCTCACCACTGCTATTAAATATAGCCCTGAATGTTTAGAAAATGAAACCACAGGGATACAAATTGGAAACGAGGGTCATGCTATCCCTGCAGGGAGATGACATGATTCTCTCTTTAGGAGAACCAAGCCTATACTAAGAGGCTGTTGAAATTCTTTGTAAAAGAGTTTCATAAAGTTGCAAGATGTGAAATCAACACACAAAAGTTATGTCTTTGCATACAAAAAGAATTCTATGACTGAGTAATAGCTTGTAAAATCAGTCCGATTCACAAAACTGCAAAAAAAAAAATAATAAACACATTGTATTACATTTAACCAAGGGTGTG